ACGGCCAATTTCTCGAGATATTTAACAAAAACGAACGTAAATACTGGTTTTGTGATAACGAGAGGAAGTCGGGGAAGCCGCCATATTGGTATATGTTAGCGCGCAGTTTTTTAAAAGCGAGTAGTAACGAAAATGCTTGTGGTGTCAATTTTTTTTAGTTTTTTGTGCGCTAAACATAAAATATCGGTTAATGAATAATAAATATGAAGGAATATTAGTAAAAAATTGATAATAAATAACGAATATCAGTAATAAATTAATACTATAACTAAATTTTATTTAACAAAATTTTTTTTGTACAATCTCATGAACACAGTTTTTAATCACATTAATGTTTGTGAAATTATAATGAATGAGTAAATNTAATTTTTAATACCTGAAATGAACAAAGGGGGGGGGGGTTAACACAATTAAGCAAGCAATTAAGTACAACCAAATTAATAGGAAAAAGCCAGTGGCATAAGAAACCCAGATTTATTAAAACGAATCAGAGTGAATACAATTGAAGACCAAATTAAGCTAATTATATTATTAACAACAGGAACGGTATTAAGCGTGTGTTGTGATGGTACGTTAATGTGTGAGGGTGTGCGGGATGACCTTGTGGTAACGACTCTTGGTTTGAATGAGTTCAAGGCGAGTGAGTGAGGAGTGATCTCCTCTGCGAACCGGTGGGCCGTGCACGGTCGCACGAGTCAGCGCAAGGCTGGTGAAAGCGGGCCAACGCCCGAAAGTCGAGATTAGCTACCACCTGCAGCAGCTCAGCAACGATGGTTTTTGCGATTGGCGTATTCAGGTGGGGATCCTGAGTCCAGAACGAGAGACGAAATGAGGCGGGCGGACTATATTGATGATGGTGGGATTACGATATGTACTGAATATGTGTAATAGACGTGCGATTAGTATGATATGTGTTGATGTGATTGAATGTGGATACGTAGAGAGAATCTAACCTAAGATGATGGTGGATGTATGTAGACGGAGATGTGCTGAGCGGATGATGATGAGAGTTCGTGGAACGAGTGACGTATGGATGATAAGATGTTCGTGTACGTGAAATGAATGAGTTGAGATTTACGCGAGGATAAGCGAGATGGAGAAAGATATGGGTTGAGCAAAGTGCAGATGGTGCAGGTGTGACAGGCGTAGACGTAAAGAGGGGTGAAAGAAATAGACAGAGCGTGATTGTGATGAAGAACATTTCGAGTAGAGGAGGGTTGGATAGAGAAGGGGAGAGTAGCACGAGTGAGAGGTGAAAAAAGGGTTAGAATGACGACAAGGACGACTAAGAGATTGATGGATGAACGATGAATTAAAGAATGAGAATTGTAATTGCAGAGGCACAATACGAACATGAGATGTAATTAATGATAGATGTAGAAATATGAAAGGAGTAATTAATGAAATGATTAGGTGGAGGGATTGTGATAAAGATCGACTAACTATGAATAAGTATGAAGTTGAGATATAATTAAATCTAAAAGACTTAGCGTCTCGACGACAATGTTCTGAGTCCTGGGGCTCGAAGATGGCGGTGAAGATCTCCTGCGGATGACACAATATGTAAGCGGAAAAACTTCAAGCACTAAGCGAGAGGTATTCACGATGCTTCCAATTCGGCGTATCAGGCAAGAGAAAGAGCGTGCAAGGAAAAAAATCGAGTCCTGAAACCCTACCCCTCTCGCTGCCGTGCTGACAAGCTTCGAGCCAATCAGCGGCGAGTGCGAATAGACTGTTCGTTCTTATGTACGGCGCTGAAGCACACGTTGAAGAAGACACAACATTGAATGTGGGTATCTATCTCTCTCGCGCATTTCCACCTTTGGCAATGTGCGAGAGAGACATATATCCACGTTCTATGTTGTGCAGTAAAAATAATCAGTCAATGTTGATTCAATGCTGAAGTAGCATTGATTCAATATGGAATAAACGCAGAATAAATGATGCAGTTTGCAACTGCTTTTAGCGTTGATTCATAACTGATATTTTTGACAAGGCAAAGAGGTGAATGTTATTATTTATCAACTAAATATCCAAAGATGAGTAAAGGGATACTATATATGAAAGTTCTTAGTTCATAGGGTTACTGGGTTATACAGTTTTGGATTGTTATTTTATTTATATATTTTTAGTATCCCGTTCGTATCATGAGGCTAGTGCAATTAAAAACGTAAGGCTTGTGCTTTCTGATGTAAGATAATAGACTGAGCTAAGCCTGAAATGTGTAAAAAAAAAAAAAAAAATGACAGCCACAAATCTCGCAACATTCGAGAAACGTAAGGTTAAATAGAGATCTAAAATATTTTTGTGATCTCTTCTGTTAATCATGCAGTATATTGTAATATACAACGTGCAACGTAATCCAAACGATATTACTGCCAAAACTTAGTCCAATCGATAAAGAATTAGAAGTCATCTGTTATAGTATCATTTTTTGCAAGATTTAGACTTTTGAACTACCCGAAAATACCCCCCTGCTCCAAAAAATCCAACCTCCCCCCTACAAAAAAACATGATCTACATGGATTACAATTTTCGACTAAAAAAGGTTATTTTTTCACCCTCAAGAAGTCTGAACTTAAATGCAACTCATGTTTTACGTATTAAATTTTCATGAAAAAACGTTTGGCAAAGTTGCGGCAGTGTTAATTTTTTTTTTTTTTTNAAAAAAAATTCCTCGGTCCGCAATCTCGAACTCGGGTTAAAAGGGTCCAAAACTGTTACTCCTACCATCCAAGCTAACTGATCAAATGGAAATTGAGGTTCAAAAATTACACATATTCATCGTACATACCTTAACTTATCCATGATGGTTTAATGTTTTTAACGATTAGGTTTTATTTAAATTTAATATTATTAAAGTAATACTTGTTAATTCAATAAATCTCTATTCCTTATTTGGTAACCCTAGTACTGCAGTCTAATAAAAACCAATAAAAAAAATTTTATAAGACTGTGATGTGTGTTTGCACCCGTAATTTCATATAAAATCCATAGCAAATCAAAGATTTATTTGTGTTTACCGGAAATACCTCACAATTAATCAATGTGATTTTATGATGATATACAAATATTGAATACATAAGAAATGTAGCTGTATGCATAACAAGCGACTATTATAGGAGTTTATGAAAAACACATCAGCATCTATCAAATACTAATAGATTGTATTGGATTTTATTCGACTGGAAATAAGACAGGGCACTTAATTATTACTTTTATAATAGTCTACTGGAGAAACCCAATAAGAATTACATTCACCTTTATTGGTCATAGTAGGATTTGGTTACGTCATTGAAATCATGTTTTTATTGGCTATTACGCTAATTTAATTTAACAACTTTTATAGGATAGTACTATCAATTTAACAAACTATCGAGAAGTAAGTCAATGATTTAATGGTGTTTACGGGAAATACCTTACAATTAATCAATGTGATTTTATGATGATATGCAAATATTTAATAAATAAGAAATAAAACTGTAGACATAACAAGCGACTTTTACTGGAGTTTATGGGAAATATATCAGCATTTATCGAGAGTTACATAAGTTTGTACTATACAGTACTAGCAGCCCCCCGTCGCGGNTTTTTTTTTTTTATTTGTAAGGAGGTATATTTTTTTGGGGATATTTCAGGGTGGTAATGGAAAAGTCTCGATTCTCTCGCAAATGGTAGCAGGTGGGTTGCAGCAGTAATATTGTTTTGATCATATCGCACTCTTTCTATGACAATATAACTCGTGGTCATTGTTAATTTTTTTTTTTTTTTATTTGTAAGGGGGTATATTTTTTTGGGGATATTTCAGGGTGGTAATGGAAAAGTCTCGATTCTCTCGCAAATAAAACGTATCACTAACATATGTTTATTTCCCATTCATTGAACTAGGTTGCAGCAGTAATATTGTTTTGATCATATCGCACTTTTTCTATGACAATATAACTCGTGGTTAAGAGAAAAGGTCTTGAAAATACTTTGGATCTGAACAAATTTTACAATGTCGTTTCTACACTTTTGTGTCAGTTGCGGCAGTAAAATTTTTTTTTACACATTTTTAGCTTAGCTTGGCTTCCATTATGAATAGACCCTAAGCTAATGGTCAGTCCGATATGCGGACTAACCTTAAGGCCCACGGCCAAAGCTTGTATAAAGGCCTACGGTCAAATTGACATAAAGTGCACAGTGCACAGGGGTCGTACCATGTAACTATTTTTCAGTACATCGGCCTATGTTATAACATAGGCCTGCAAAGCAAAACGACGTATTGTTTTATGAGCTTAAGGCACATTATAATTTAGTAAAAGCTAACCTATTCTTTTGTTAATAATATTGGTGTTCTTGTCGTTCTTGAGTTGTTTAATGTCTTGTGAATACTCTATTAAGAATCATAGGCAAACATCTCTCGCTACGTGAAAGTTGTAGAAAACAACGTATCTGTGAAATTGGAGGTTACAAATGGAAAGTTGGAATTGTCAACGTTACATTTATATTTTCCAGAAGCAACGTCATTAACATATATACAAAACGGCGATGTGATAGGGTTATCCATTAAAGATAACAAAATTGTCCTTGACAATAACATTGACGAATATCAAGTATTTAATCCGCGATTTCATCCTTCGAGTAACACTAATGGTAAGTTAATACTCGTATAGCTACATCGAAATATTTCTCGAAATAAATCGAATAAATCGAAATCGAAATATTAATAAAAACAGTAATAAGTAAAATCCAATTAAGATGTTGTAAACAAAAGAATAGGTTAGCTTTTACTAAATTATAATGTGCCTTAAGCTCATAAAACAATACGTCGTGTAGGAGCGTAACGCAGTGCAACGAACCATCGATACATTGTAGACAGACTCCTAAAACAGGAGCAAGCAGCACAGCGCGCAAGTGCGCTTCCTTAGGTGGAGCAAGCATATTTTTTGCTTCCGTATGTGCTCGCGCAACATGGAGCGCGCATGAGCCATACGGGCTTCCGTCGCGTAGGCCTTAACGTGAGTCAGCCTTTACGTTGATGAAAGACTGTGTGTTAACGTTTACGTCATTTCTTTTTTAGTTAACCTGTCATTTGATACATAAGTTCAATGTTTTAGAAACATGGATAGTCAAATTTGTGGTGACGGCCGACTTCTTGATCTGATCGATGAAGAGTGGAGAAAGGACAAACTACCGCTTGACGAAATCCTTGTGCCTGCTAGTGAACTTCCAGATCCAGAAAGTGACAATGGAGACTCGCACATGACTTTAAAGGAGTTGGAGCAAAAGTGGAATAATTTAGCTCTTGGAACACTCAGTGAAAATCATCTGCATTCGCCAACTTCTTCACATAATTGAAAATTTCTCCCTAACTCGCCACACAACCATGGAATTTCCAAGCATGGGAGATCAGTGCTCAATCAAAGATTGCCAACAACTAGATTTTCTACCATTTACTTGTAATAACTGTCAACTTGTGTTTTGCAAGATACATTTTACTGGAACATCTCACCCTTGCTCTCAATCGAATAATGTAGTTGAGACTACAATTAGTTCAATCGCCACCTATAAATGCTCACAAAGTAGCTGTACAACCACATCAGTTGTAGAGATGTTATGTATTAAGTGTAACAATCACTTTTGCTTATTGCATCGGCATCACGGTTGCTTTGAACCAACCGAGCTGGAAAAGCAAGATAATTTAATTCAATGGGAAAAACCAAAACAACAATTCACCGAAGCAAAAGATGCTGTTGACAAGGAAATAATGGAGAAACTTAAAAAATCAAAAAATTCTTCTACATCAATAAAGGTATATGAATGTTTTAAATTTTTAACCTGTGGCACAATCTTGCTAATAGCACTTTAACTTTCAGATAAAATTGATGAAACTTAAGGCTAAAGCGAAAGGTCTGAAAAGTATACCAGCTACAGAGCGTTGTTATTTTCTTGTGCACCCTCCGATGACTTGTTCAGCCACTGCAATTCCAAAGGACTCAAGGGGTGTTTTTGTTTCCATCAATTGGACCATTGGCAAAGTCATTGATTCCATAACTGATACTTTGAATATTCCTAACTTCAACAATCAAGCAACTGCAAAAAAATTAAGATTTTATAACTATTACACGGGTGTTAGTGTATCAAATCAAATGGATGAAATTTTGAGTAAGTTTATAAATGACAATAGGTTGATTAATGGCCAAGAGGTTATTTTAGAATACTCCGACAGTGATACCATAGAACCTCATTTGTACAAATAATACTTAATTGTAAACTCTGTACAATAATATTCATAAAACACTTGTCTTGAATGTATTCGTTGAGCCTGATTCTGAGGTAACCATGAGAAATAAATGAATTGATACTTTGGAGATAAGTTAAAAATAAAAGTTTTTGCTGAAGAGAAGTTTTTTAATGTCTTCAAGTATGAAATAAGAATGTATAAATTGTTCAGACTACTACAAAACAGTTCACAGAAAAAGAAATGATTCTATAGTACTCAGTGAATTGAATAAAGTTAATAAATATTGAACAAAAGAGCAGTGAACCTTTACTTAAACAACTTTATTTAAAAAGTTATTTTTATTATAAACTTTAAATATGCCAAACTCATGAATAAAAAAAAAAATTTGTTTTATGGCACAAGAAGTAAGAAAAATTCTTATACTTGTTTTTCTAAATTTATTCCAGAATGTATATGAATTCAAAAAATGTTACGTTTTCTAACTTATGAATTATATGATATATTTATTATACAATAACATACATTGGCACCAAAACAATAATGATTGTATTTACTAAAGACCTTAATTGATAATAGTGCGTATTAATTGTGTCAATAAATTTTGTTTAATTCACAGAAATCATTTGAGCATTTGAATAACAATGACTATTTGAGAGCTTATTCATATTAGGCAATTCTGAAATTCTAGAGTTGAGAATGTTTTGAAAATAAATTATTTTTATTTTGTGTTTCATTAAAATCACTTTCCGTTTCTATGATTCAATGCAGGAAATTTTGATACGATATATACTTCATACTTGACACTTGTACTTTATGCAGAAATAAGCTGTAAAGTTTGAGAGTTTAAAATGATGTATATGAAAATTATAATAAATTTTTTTTCACACTGTGTCACTAATGTGTTTGAAGGTTCAGGTCCATACTTTTATGTAGGGTAGTTGTACTCGATGTACAGATTTTTTGTAACTTGTGTCTAAAAACATTTCTGAAAAAAAATTCTAAAGACTTAGAGATCTTATATATATAGTCTCTCTTGCATTCGACGACTACAAACCGAGATTTTGTAAGGTTGACTATCAAAGTACTACTTCAATCGTTATTTGTGTAAGTTACATTTTTATATCGATAAACCTCTACTTATTTGTGAGTCTCGATGTTTTTGTTTTCCTTAAGAAAACGTGTAAAAGTAGTTATTTTTTTCTTTGGAGATATTAGCGATTTTATGTTTTTTAAAAGTTATATTGTAAAAATATTTCCAAGTAATCTATGCACATTCATGTTAAAGTACCTGCTATAATTTTTTTAAATGTTTACATTTTTCCTGACGATATAGCCAGAGAATACAGAATACATTGCATCATTCTGTAAAAATGATATATTTAAAAAAGAAATATTTCTGCCGCGAAATAAATCGTTTTTATCACTTGAAAATACAGTCTAGATATTCAGAAAAATAGTTTTGCCCAATCAAGGCATCGGCTTCAATTATTATTTAACAAATTGTAAAAATTAATCGAATTTTTTTTACATTTTGGATTGTAACTTCTTTTCTATTGCTTTGATTTAAAAAAGTATTAAAGCATAATTGTTTGTGATTAACTTTCCTATTGATTATGAATTATGATCCTTGTGATTATTCAAAAACTTATTTTTTGCAATGCCATGTTGCAAAAAAGCGCGAAATTCCCTGTTTCAAAAATCAATCTTAATGTATGTGTAGTTTTTTTTATTTATTGATAAAAATGATTGATAATTTGGGATTAAGCACCTATTACAAGTATTTTTAACCATACATAAGCTTTTTTGTTATTTAAAAGAAATTACGTCACAATTCTATTGTTAATTTAAAAATTCATTTACCCACACAAAGGGTAAAAACAGTTACACCCAAAATGCCAACGACATTTTGTCAAGAATACAAAGAACTTCAAAGCTATGGAAGAAATTTTTTTTTTATTTTAACCGACTTTCTGGTCGATCGATTTTTGCTATTAAACAAATGCTCATAACTCTGTTAATCTTGGACATGGAGAAACGCAACCAATTTCTTATAAAACTTAATAATTTTCTACGTATTTAAAAAAAAAAATTGATAATTTTGATACGATGCTCCTTACAATTGTTATAAGCAAATTAGCGTTTTTTACGATCGTTTAATAAATATCGATAGTAACTAACATGGAAGAGTACACAGCTCCTTCCGGACAATAATCTTTTACGAGCATTCATTTCAATAATAACGTATCTATAATAAACATTAACAACTGACATAATTTCTTGTTGATGGGTGTCGAGTATAGTTCCAAACTGTAAAATACCTATTAGTCCATGCAGGGGGACATCGTCAATCTACCGAGAAAAATTATTCGGATGAAAATTTTTTGCGCCATTTCATAAAAAATGTGCTCCTGTATGAGGAAGTACAGTTTTCCAGGTGCCAATGTGGTCAGAAATTGTTTAAACAAATTCGTCAAAGTTGTTTTTTTGGTCTAAAAAAATATTTTCCTATTTTTTGGCACATTTGTAACAAAAAACTAATAGGAATGTATATAACTAAACTCCACAGTTTTCGAGTAAGGAATTCTCAAAGTTTCAAAAAATGCATTTTTTCCGATTTTCAGAGCTCCAAGAAAGTGGTAAATAAACATATTTTCATACCTTACAACACACGATCATAAACTGTAAGCCTTCCTCTACAATCTCCAAAAAACGAAATGTCGAAAAGTTGAGTGGCAAGATTGATTTTTGCAATAAACATTCAGAGCTTTTCAGCGCGTGCTCATATTTATGTGGGTGTATATCTATACATGTTTACTACACGCTGAGCCACAACACGTAGGAGCGCGCGCTGAACCACCCTGAACGTTTATTACAAAAAACAATGTTGCCCTCAACTTTTCGACATTTTCTTTTTTGGAGATAGTATAGAGGAAGGTTTACAGCTTATGATCGTGTGCTCCCTGGTAGAAAATTACTACATAAACTGGCTAGAAACTCGTCAACGTACATGCGTCAATGGGCTTATAACATGTTAACAAGTTTCTAGCCAGTTTATGTAATAATTTTCTACCAGGGTTGTAACGTATGAAAATATGTTTATTTGGCACTTTCTTGGAGCTCTGAAAATCGGAAAAATAGTAGATTTCGTCGGATAAGTGCCGTCGTCTCCGGGGCTATTTTGCAGCCCGAGGGACGTAAGGTAGCCGCGGAGCAATAGCACTTACGTGGCGAATCCTTTTTTTCCTACCAAGGGCACACCCGACATTCAAAAACGCCCGAAATCGGAAAATGCATTTTTCATGGGCACAAAGTGCAACTGCCGCTTTGCGCCCTCGGGTCACACTTTACGCCCTTGTAATCACTTTGGGCCCAAGGGCAGAAAAGTTTTTTGCGCCCTCCGGGCCCAATTGTTATGCACCTAATGAGCGAGGTTAAGAATGTCTTAGATTTCACGTAAATAAACGCCCGAGGCGAAGCCAAGGGTGGTTAATGTGAAATCTAATGCACTTCTGTTTTTCATCAATCCTGCGCCGAGAGAAGGGATTTTCGTCCCGCGAATCGGGACGAAAGTTCCTACTTTCGACACAGTATGATAAAATAGTAGTTTTCCTACGAGTTTGAAAAGTCTCTGTTTGCGAACCGAGAAGTTTGCGGCCCGAGCCGAAGGCGATGTCCGTAACGAGGTTCGTAAAGGAGACTTTTCGAACGAGTTCCGGAAAACTACTTTTTCGCCCGAGGAAGTACCAGCCTCCCAAAACCACCCGAGGGCGGAAAAGTACTTTTCCTACCTCGGGCGTTTTTGAGAGGCTGGTGTGCCCTCGGTAGGAAAAATAGCATTCTCCACATAAGCGCTATCGCTCCGTAGCTACCTTACGTCCCTTGGGCCGCAAAATATCCGACGAAAACTACTATTTCCGCTCTCGGGTGGTTTTGAAAGGCTGGTACTTCCTCGGGCGAAAAAGCAGTTTTCTGGAACTCGTTCGAAAAGTCTCCTTTACGAGCCTCGTCACGGACCTCGCCTTCGGCTCGGGCCGCAAACCTCTCGGTTCGCAAACAGAGACTTTTCAAACTCGTAGGAAAACTACCATTTCTGCCCTAGGGCCTAAAGTGATTTACTGGACGCAAAGTGTGTCCACGGGCGCAAAATTGCACTTGGCACCCTCGGTAAGAAAAACATTATACGTGACTCGGGCACCAACCGACAACAAGTGCGCCCTTTGGGCGCTTATATTTGTACTTTGTACCTTAGTGATGTAATGTACCATTTCTCCCTACCGGGCGCAAAGTGAGGGCCCAAAGTACTTTTCATTATACTGCGCCAAAAGTAGGAAGTTTCGTCCCGCTTCACAGGACGAAAATCCCATCTCTCGGGGCAGGATTGATGAAAAATAGAATACGCTCACGTTTGGAGGTTAAGAAATGCCCTAAATTTCACGTTATCCGCCCTCAGCTTCGCCTTGTGCGTTTATTCACGTGAAATCTGCGACATTCTTAACCTCGCTCACTAGGTGCGTAATATACTATTTCCTACCTTGAGCGTTTTTGAGAGGCTGGTGTACTCTCCGTAGGAAAAATGGTATTAGGGCAACCTTACGAACCCTCGGGCCGCAAAATAGCCCCAGAGGCGATGGCGCTTATCCAACGAAAACTACCATTTCGTGCTTATTTATACTGCAAAGTGGAACTTTTCTGCCCTACGGCGCAAAATACTTTTCTGCCCTCAGGGCGCAAAGTAATCCCAATTTTTTAAGGACAGAAAATTTTTCTTTGGTGATGTAGAAGCAGTAAAATAATTAGAATGAGTATTAATATTTTTTTTTCTAACACTGTGTAGCTAATAGGTGTTTTCCTTATTATTTTTTGTGCGAAAAATCGAATTTCTAACATTGATTTGATAAAAAGTGTGCTGAAACTGTTTTTTTTACGAATGTTACAAAGAATTTATGATGCACAGGAAATTTTTTTTTAATTATAACAATTTTAAACAAGCAATAACTAGTGAATCATTAATACACATAAAAAAATGTGAGATCTATTGAGAATAACTCATAGAGTCTGTTTCTTTTACTTTTTAAACTGTGGCAAATTTAAATCAATTAATTTTTAATGCAATGTACTCAAATTTGCTAACACTCACAAGTGAAGTATAACAGTTTT